GGCGCCACGCCGGTGAGTGTGTTGCTCAACGCTGACCCCGTCACCCGCCCCGCCTCACGGGCCGGGGGGCGGTGAGGCGCCGCGGCGGAGAGACCGGCCGAGCACGGCGCTACGCCGCCGTAGTCGGAGCACGCCCCCGGCGCGGCCGGCTTGTTAGCCGGCCGCCCGGCGCCCTCGGCAAATAACGTCATTTCACACGCGGCCGCCGCTTAATGAGGTGCCGCGCCGTGAGGGCGAACACCGGGTGGCCCGAGCTTTACCGGTGGCCGGAACCGAGTCTGAGTCCGCCGTGAGCCGGGGGAACTGCAGGTCTGTGTCCGCCGGGGTGAGGGGACCGGTGTCAGACTGGTATCTCTCCTATACCAGCGGCTGATCACCTGATTTGGGTGTGTCGAAGTGGTGGTTCACATACAATATCCTCATCTCTCAGCACCCGGTTATCTCATTACGACCAGCCCATTTGAAGGCCATTTGCAGGCGCTCGAGCCCGGTACTCATGTTTCCGGCATGGAGATAACGCTGGAGCTTAGTGGTGGAGGTGAGCCGCTTTGTCCAGCCAGCCGCTGAGCGGTGCGGCGCCATTTTACGTCGGGCCGCTATCGTTTGGTATTGCGAGCACACCTGGACCGGCGGAGATTGGAGGGATATGTGGCCGTACGGTGGCCAGCGGGCAGCGGCCGCCTGGGCCGGCGGAGATTGGAGTGATATGTGGCCATACGGTGGCCAGCGGCCGCCCGGAACTGCGGCGCTGTCGGCCGGTGACCGTCCCCAATCAATTCGGCATCAACTGTGGTAGCTGAACAGAGTCGCGATCCTTATTCACATAATTGGTACCTATATTTGGAGGCTGAAACAGTCCCTGAATGCTGGTGCAAGCAATGTGTCAAAATTTGTTGGATTCTTGTATACCTAATGGCGTGTTGGACATATCTGTCATCAATGCACCCAATTAGTGCTGCTTCATTTCTGGAAGGAATATCAAGTAGGCGTTGAAACTAAAGCACAAGTGTTTGCCGACTGCTCACGTTCACTCCATCACTACCTCAGTGACTGGCTCGACGGCAGCAAGTGATAGCTGATCAGTGATCCTGATAACCGATTCCATTCATCAGCGATGGTCGGGATGATCCTGTTTCAAGGCAAACGCACCTGGTCGCCGCTTGGGTACCTGGCCCTCACGGTGGTCTCGTGACGGCGCCGTGATCGACACGAACCTTCACCGGGCGCGGCAGTCGGCCGAGCGGCGGCCTGTGTTTGCAGCTTTCCCTGAAGCCGGCCGGCTCGGAGGCTCGGAGTGGCGCCGCCACTGCCATCTGTGGGCGGCGGCGCCAACTGACGGCGGCTGCCGCCCGGCGCGGCGGGGGCCGGTGTCGGTACTCGGCCGGTGGCCGCCGGTAACCTATTGATCCCGGCACGAGTCGGGGTATTTGTGGACCGGCTCTGATTCCGTCTGAAGACGGCCAGCGGTGAGCGCGCCACGCCGCACAGCTGTGGGCCGGTGACGAACCTCTGATCTCTGACAGAGGTGTGGGGCCGCTCCAGGGGCCGGTGACGGGACTGCTGGGCTCTGACAGAGACGCCGCGCCGTACCTACCGCCGCGCCGGACCGGTGACAGACCTCTGGGCTCTGAGTTCTGACAGAGACGCCGCGCCGTACGGCCGGCCGGTGACGGACCTCTGAGTCCTGACAGCCGTCAGTGACAGCTAACAATGGTCAGCCCGCAGCGGCCACTTTGGGGACCGGTGACGGGTCCACGGGATTCCGCTCAGGGTACCGGCCGGTGCCGCCCTCCCTCCCACTCCCTCCCGGATATATGGACCGCCCCCAGCCCCCCCCCCCCCCAGCCTCTCTGATGGGCTCACACCGAACTGGACGCGTCACGACGGCCGTGCGGTGTCGGTGGGGCCGCATTCCGTGCTCTGATGGAACGACTCTCGGGGAATTTATCTGGTGGTGATGGGAAGGGTTGGCGTCTGTTGGCTGGATTATCTGTAGCGCCACGATGGCATTGATGATAAACATTGAACATTGAGATGGCGCGTGGTGTATTTTGTAAACGATCGTCAGCTCGCCCTGGGGTCCATTGCAGAACCGCAATGTAACGGTAGCCATGGAAAATTAATTTCACGTCCCGCTGTTGTCACAATTTATAATGTAGAGGCATCTTGGAACGGTGCGGCTGGCATGGTGACGCCTCCTTTGGTGTGGTGCTATTTGTGTTTCACTCGAAACGTGTCGGCCTTTCGGGAACGTCCCGTTTTGGAATGGAGCTGCTTTGCTGGGCGTTTTGAGACGGTACTTGGCGTCGGACAACAAACGGACAGACACATGGATATATAGACAGACAGACAGACGCATGGATAGACAGACAGACGCAGACAGACATGGATGAAAGACAGACGAACACTGTCGTGACCGGTGACGGTACGGCGCGGTGACCGGGTGGAGGCCTGTAACTGGGTCAGAACAGCGCGCGCGCGGCGCGGCCGAGCTGTCGCCGGCGCGGCCACTCGGACTGGGTCAGGGCTAGCCGCCGCCGCCGTCACTGCGGCTCGGCCGGCACCCGCGGCCCCGCCGCCCGTCACCCGTCAGCGAGCCGAACCCGCTGGTTTCACGGGACGGCCGCCCGGAATGTGGACGGAATGGCTCCGAGCGCCGCTGACGCAAACCCGTCCAGAGCTGCTGGGAACAGGTGATGACACGGGTGCGCGCAGTGAATAAAGAATGTCGGGTCGTGTGCGTCCGGGACGCACAGTGGACCGGTTAGCGTCCTTCTGTTGTCACATACCGCCTGAGTAAGGAGCGCAGAACAGTGTTTCAGACGCCGTCCTGTCTGTTCGCCTGAGGCAAACTGTTTCGGCAACGGAACCCTCTGGGTTTCTCTGCTTCCTGCCTCCGCGATCTGTTAGGGCTAGGGGCGTGGAATCTCCGCGGGCGGGAAGGGTTAGGGGCGTGGAATCTCCGCGGGCGGGAAGGGTTAGGCGCGTGGAATCTCCGCGGGCGGGAAGGGTTAGGGGTGTGGAATGCACACGGACGGCCAATGTAAGCGGCATTCCGGGCGGCCGACCAGGTCTGCCGGCAGCTCTCCGGACTCCGGAGCGGTGCGTCACCATTTGTGACGGGTCGTCAGCTGCCGGCCGCTGACTGCTGACCGCTGACCGCTGGCCGCTGACCGCTGACTGCTGACGGGTGCTGATCGCTGACCGCCGACCGCTGACTGCTGACGGGTGCTGACCGCTGACTACTGACTGTGGGCCGGGTCCGCGGTGGTCCGTTTCCACTGAGAAACGGACGGGTCGCCCCAGTGCTGAAGAAGAGGGACGGGTCGCCCCAGTGCTGATCAGTGTCCGGCGGCCGAACCGGGCCGGTCAGCGGCAGGAAGTCGCCCCATGTCGAAGAAGCTTGAGGTCATAGTAGATACAACATTCGTCGATGACGTACTACTGGCAACGGTTGATTTAAATTGGAATGGCCTATGGTACTTTCCACGTTCAACATTTCTGCAGCTGGCGAACCGTTTTGGACCACACGACTGTAAAAAGGGGCTACCAAATTCTAATCGGCATGGTTTGCCAATAGGTTCACAGATATGTGTCGTTGTGAGGCCGGCCCCACCAACGGTGACCGGTCGGTGCCCTCACACCGTGCCCGTCCGGCGTGCACGGCTCGGTGGCCCGCGCGGCAGGTGAAAGTGGCGAACAGGTTTGTGTTTGCCGACCGCCGGACACTGGTCACTGGTCAGTGGACGGCGCCGGGCCGGGTCAGCTGGTGGCCAGCGGGGGGGGGGGGGGGACAGAGACGGGGACACGGGGCACTACGGGGCGAACAGGAGGGGCGGGGCACCGCGGCCATAGGGCGCAGACATGTGGCGCTGTTGGTACCGACAAAGTGCCGCCGGTCGGTCGGTCGGCTGTGGCCGCGGCGGGATTTGTGTCTCCGGCGGCGCTGTGCCGGACAGGCCGACGGGCTCGACGGGCTGACCGTCGGAATGCCTGCCACTGTTTCCTCCAGGATAGATTCCCGTGACTCAAGGCATTGCGTTGATGATAATAAATAACGCCGCCACCTTTTCGCCTCCATTCATTCCATTGAGCGTCGATTCCCGTCTGTTTTGTGCCGCGCTGTGTTCGCCGTACGAGTGCCGCACTTTGCCGAGTTGTGAAGTGTACCTTTGTGATGTTCAAGGTCCCTCTTTAAACACCTGACCGCCTCATCTCCGTCTGACTGTCTGCTACCTGTGACTGTCCCTCTGTCTCGCTGGCCCTCCCCGTCTGACTGTTGTCTCCCGTGTGTTTCAGGACGCGCCCGTCACGCCGCTGCAGCGCACCCCGGAGCAGCACGGTGAGTCCGCCGCTGTATGTGCGGTAGTTGTGAGCGCGTCTCGCTGCGTACTGGTGTACACAGTCGGTGCATTGAGGCCGGTACCGACCGGGAACGGGATCGATCCGCGGAATGGGGCCGGCCGTCGCAGACCGCTTTAGTTCACACCTCGGCCCGCGCTGCAGTCGTTACCTTCCCGGGTTGGCCCCATCAGAAGGGCGGCGGGGGACGGGATGTCTCACTGCTCCCATATACCAGTGCGGACAAATCACACTGCTCCGCCCCGCACCCACAGCCCTGTGTGATGTCCTTGGGTATGTTCGCGTGTATGTGTGTGCGTGACCTGTGTGAGTCGCTGTGCACAGCTGAGTGTGCAACCAGCCGCTGGCTTGGAGCTCGGTGGTGCGCTGAAGCTGGGCAACCATTGATTGGAGCGGCGGGCGGCGGAGCGGAGCGCGGCCGGTCACTCGGCGCGCTGACCGGGCCCGGTGTGACGCCCCGCCGCCGCCGCCGTCCCGGCCGGCTGCTGGTGGTGCGCCTGGTCTCTGCCGGACCGCTGACGGCCCGTGTGACGCTCGTTACAGGTCGGGAGCCGGCCGCGCCGCGGGACGACACGGAGAGGCGGCGCGGCCGGCCGGCGGCGCCGCCCGCTCCGACGGCGCCCGGCCGGCCGGCCGCCGCGCCCGCGCCCGCCCCCGCCCCCGCCTCTGCCGCCATACCGTGAGTAGCGCTGCTATATCGTGATTACGCGTCTGAGTGTTTGATCGGTGGATTGTTTCTAACCTTTTATTGCTCTCAGACGTGGTTCCTCTGGCGCAATGGGCCGTGTTGTACGCGAGTTTGTCCATACTGTTCACATGACCAGCCCTGTCTGCGTTGGTTTGCGTTCAGTGAGTGCAGCACACTGTGTTACGGTAGCCCGTGTTACGGTGCACGCCGCACTGGGACCGTGCAGCCGCCGCGGGGGAGCCCCCCTCCCCCAGCTGCACATTCGGACCGTCTTATTACCGACACGAACCACGGTCACGGGATCAGCAGTCGGGGGTCGCCGGCGCTCGACGCGGCGTGTCATTATCGCCTGTGCACGGAGGACGGCAGTATCAGATGGCGCATTTGTACCTCGCCGCAGCGGTTTTAATCAGGCCACCAGGAAAGGTGTGGTCGTGACATATGCTGATAATTTCCAGCGTGATAGAGATTGCTGCAATGATGTGAGGGATTGAACACAGCACTGGTACTGTCGTTATGGAAGCGCACTCAGTGTAAGAAATGAAACCGATGCCCGTGCTTGGCACATGCTCATTTGGAACTCATTGTCCGGTCAGGTTTCAATAGAGGCCGGCTGGTTTTCCTTGTCGTGTAACTGCTGAACCGGACGGACGGACGGACGGACGGACGGGCGAGGACAGCACGGTCGGCTCCTGGGCCAGGGTCGCGCGTGTCGCCGCTCCAGCTCAGCTGTAACGGAGGCGCGGTCCCTCGGCGCACTGGTCCAGCCTTCTGTCGGAGGACCGGACTATTGTAACTCTATTTCAGGAGGCTGAGAACTCTGACTCCGCTGTGATTCTGCTTCAGCTCTCTGTCTGAGGGCGTACTACCGTGTTTCAGCTGTCGTTCGGAGGACTCTGACTCTGACTCTGCTGTGACCCTGTTTCAGGTCTCTGTCGGAGGACCTGACTCTGTCGGAGGACTCTGACGATGACTCGGCGGCGCACAAACACCAGCAGCCCCCTCAGCAGCCGGCGGTGTCGGTGTCGGCGTCCCGGGGCTCCGGCCGCCTCTCCGATCGGTCCAGGTCAGTGCGATCGGCCCGTCCTCCAGGGGCACGGCTGTCTGTGTGCCAGCGGGGGTAACGGTCCAGGTCAGTGCGATCGGCCCGTCCTCCAGGGGCACGGCTGTCTGTGTGTCAGTTAGGGGTAACGGTCCAGGTCAGTGCGACCGGCCCATCCTCCTACCCCAAGGACACGTTTGGGGTACCGGAGGCTCATAGGTGGAGGTGCGGGTTCTGTGCCCCAGCAGAGATCACAGACAAATTACTGACTGACGAGATGCACGAGCACGGACGGGTCGACGGGCCAGCGGAGGACGTGGACCACAGTGTGCAGTCAGGTTGTGCAGTCAGGTCTGAACCAGAGGTCAGTGGTGACCGCTGGTTCCTCTGGAGGTCGCCGTCGGTAGGTCAGGGTCAGTCTCGGCCCGCCGCACAGTGTGGCCAAACGCCAGATTAGCGCGAATTTAATCAAAAAACGAATTTTGGAATTTTGACTTTTTATAACTATCAGTCGATAGGAAATTGTCCAAAGTATGTCAATATCACAATACTTTGGTTCAATGTCTTCCTTTCGGTGTCCAAAAAGCTAGCTAAAGTGGACATACGCAATGCCGGTCCCGGCTGTGCTGAAATCGTCGAAAACCCGCGTCATGTTTACAACACATTTTGGCGTAATTGTCGGAAAGGTTTGGAAATAATTGGAGTGGCATATGACTACTGCGCCTATATTTGATAGTATACCCGAATTCTATAGGTATCCTTGGACTAACCGATGAGTTATGCTCATTTGAAAATGACCTTTTCAAACATCCCCTGAAAACACTGTCCATCTTAAAAACGTAGAGATATAAGAAAATGGCCAAAAAACTCCACGCCAAATCTACTATGAGAAGATTCGCCACACTTTTCTGGACATGATCCATTCAAGAAACCCTGCCCCAACCTGCCCCCCGGCCTTTGGCTCAGCTTTGAACGTATCGGGTTGGCCCGCCCGGGGAGGTCCGGCTACAGGGTGGGCGCGGCGGCGGCTCCGTAACGTTACGCGGATGGCTCAACCGCTGTATTTCTGACTTGTTATAGTGCAGAATACGGTCGCCAATGAATAAATCTTGACAATTTTTCAACCCTCGCCCATGTAGGGGGTGAGGGTGGGGGTCGAAAGGACCCCTCTCGGTTTTTCGCAAAAAGCTCATGTAAAAAGCGGCCGATCGCGACGAAACTTTCAGTACCCTCGAGTTTATCAATTTTACACCTACCCATTAAATTTCACGACCCTGAACCCAATGACCTTTGACCTGTGACCTATTTCTCGAGACCATGTTTGGCCGGAAGCGCGATTGGGCGTATGTTTGCTTGCATTAGCCGCGCGTTTGCAGTCTTTTCGTGGTTTCAAGCGTCTAAACATGTGATATTATGATGTTGGTCCCATGCATTATGGTCGGTGTCAAGATCACTTGAAGGTCAGGTCAGTTCAATGACCTTTGATGACCTTGGTTCACCTTTTTTAGTTTTACATGTTATCAGACTAGTTTTTGGAGCTGATTTCGGATTAAGTAAACATTTGAACATTTAGGAAGAAGTTTTGGTGCATTCGTAACATGCAACGAAGCTGTCACTGGCGGTTGACACCTATTTTATGAATACCCGGCAGGACTGGTTGGTCTGACCTGACCTGGCCCGACCTACGTTCGCGGCTAGCAAAACAATACGGGCGAGGGTTAATGACATGAAGGTGCTTATGGTGTAAGTCTTTGTTTTTACTCTTATTGCTGAGGTTCAGTCCTATCGTTGCGTGTATTTCAGCAACCATCTACCGATTCATGTGCTTCACCAGGAACATTCACACAGAAACATAATTAGATGTTGATTTTTTTTTTCAAGCAAACTTTGGACAATCATAAGAATTTACCAGAGAAATGATGGGAATTTCGTAAACGATTCCTCCTCCTAACATGCCCATCATTGCTGGGACCCACAATTTTATGCCTCTTATTTGCGGTTAAATTCCAGGATTTCGTAATCAGAGTCGGAGTCGTTCGGAGTCAACAGTTCTGACCCTGCAGTCAGAGTCGGAATCGGAATCGATTTTGGAATCCGGACCAAGACTCGTAGTCTGAGTCACCGAAAATCCATCGACTGCGTGGACTTGCCATGGCTGCGGAGTCAGAGTCCGAGTCGATCGTATAAGTCAACAGTTTTGCCCGGAGTCAGAGTTGAAATTGACTTTTGAAAGCCGTAGTCGGAGTCGGAGTAACTCCATCGACTTCACAGCCCTGGCCTGGTAAGCACATCACCCGTCGTAAGCTAGTTCTCCTTACTTTTAGAGGCGGAACTATGCCATTATATGTCAGCAAGCATTTATAATGCATCGTAAAAGGTCTCACATAGGTTTAAGTGTCAATTTTTAAACCAGGAAACAATTTTCAACGGATCCGAGCAGCGCTGGGATTTAATTCGCGCTAAACTGGTGTTTGGCCACACTGTGCGCCGTCGGTAGGTTAGTCTCGGTCGCTGTCGGTAGGTCAGTCTCGGTCGCTGTCGGTAGGTCAGTCTCGGTCGGTATCGGAGGGTCAGAGTCAGACTCGTCCCGCCGTCGGTAGGTGGGGGTCAGTCTTGGCCCGCCGTCGGTAGGTCAGTCTCGGCCACTGTCGGTAGGTCAGGATCAGTCTCGGTCCGCTGTCGGTACCGCAGCTGGTCAGTGTCGGTGCCGGGAGGTCGGTCTGTCCACTGCCGACTCCGGCGCGGCGCGGAGGGCGGCCGAGCTGTCCCCGCTCTCCGGCCGAGCTGTCCCCGCTCCCCGCTCTCCGGCCGAGCTGTCCCCGCTCTCCGGCCGAGCTGTCCCCGCTCGCAGGGCGAGCTGTCCCCGCTCTCCGGCCGAGCTGCCCCCGCTCTCCGGCCGAGCTGTCCCCGCTCTCCGGCCGAGCTGTCCCCGCTCTCCGGCCGAGCTGTCCCCGCTCTCCGGCCGAGCTGTCCCCGCTCTCCGGCCGAGCTGTCCCCGCTCTCCGGCCGAGCTGTCCCCGCTCTCCGGCCCCGCTCGCCGGCCGAGCTGTCCCCGCTCTCCGGCCGAGCTGTCCGCGCTCTCCGGCCGGCCGGCACTCCTTTCACCCAGCCTTGGCGGCGGATTTCGCCGCAGAGCGGACCGCGCCGCGTTCCGGTTCCTCCGGTTTTTCGCCGGTATTTGATGGCTCTGCCGCGGCTCGCCTCCAGAGGAGCGCCCCCCATTAGTTCCATGTTTCCGCTGGTCCAGGGACGGCGGCCGGCACGGCACCGGTGGCGCCGGTGTGTTAGAGCGGCGGGGAGCCCGGAGCGGGGTGTCCCCAGCTCGCAGTCCCCAGCTCGCAGACCCCCAGTACTGGACCAGACCTCTGGACAGTCACAGGTCACACCTCGCTGTCACAGGTCGCACACCCACAGTCACACTCACCGATCACTCGATCGGCCTGCTCTCCCCACGTGTCGGGCTGTTGGGTGGCTGCCAGCCCCTCCCACCCCCCTCCCACCCCTCTCCCACTCCCACGCTCACTCTCCCCGGCGGCTCGGCCGTGCCACGTGACCCACTCCCGCCGGCCATGGCGCCGTCACGTGACTGGGCTGTGGATTCGGCGGCCGGGTCACGTGATGTGTCGGCGGTGTCGTGAGTCGGTTTGAACAGGTTTGTCGTGGCCCGCGGGCCGGCTGCGGTGGGTGCTGGGGACGGGGTGTCGTCACTGGGCCTTTTCCTCACCGACGCCCACATGGGACGTGCCGTCCTGAGAGCGGGCTGGAGCCCGGGATCACAGTGTGTTTGAGCCGTCTATTTCGAGCGGCGACACCAGTACGCCACACGTGATCGGGGACTCGGGAGTGACGAAACCGGCCGGCTGGGAGAGCAGCGAGTGTCGGGAGCGGGAGCAGGGGAGAGCAGCGAGTGTCGGTAGCGGGAGCAGGGGAGAGCAGGGAGTGTCGGGAGCGGGAGCAGGGGAGAGCAGGGAGTGTCGGGAGCGGGAGCATGGGAGAGCAGGGAGTGTCGGGAGCGGGAGCAGGGGAGAGCAGCGAGTGTCGGGAGCGGGAGCAGGGGAGAGCAGCGAGTGTCGGGAGCGGCAGCAGGGGAGAGCAGGGAGTGTCGGGAGCAGGGGAGAGCAGGACCCGGCGGCTGTTTGTGTGTCGCCGCGGTCCGACCAGAGGCCGCCGAGGGTCACACTGTGACTGTGACCTGCATCTGCACCCGCCCAGTGTGTCGGCGGAGGTGGGCTGGGTGCGGCCGGCCGGAATGGCACGCCCTGCGGCGGCCGCTGGTGGAACAGAGGCGCGCTCGGCCGATTTCCCGAGCCGTGTCACTTTCCCCGGCGGAGCGGCTGACCGCTCCTGGCCGCCGGATGTCATAGGGCCTCTCACGGCGGCCGGTTCCGTCTGATCGATCCCGTCACCGGGTCAGCCCGCGCGGTCCCCAGCTCTCTGTGTCAGGCTGTCAGCAGGAGGCCGCCGTCAGCTCTCACACGAGATGATCGCCGAGCTGTGCAGTTTGTGTGTCTCTGTAGTCTATGATGTCCGCTTTAGCGTATCGTCTGCCGATTCGCTGCTGCGGAGACGCCTACTATGCCGCCCTCAATGAAGCCGCCTGTGTAGTATGCGATGCAGAGGCCCGGCATAGCGGCTGCGTCCCATTCGGTGTTCGGGCCCCGAGCTCCGGACATCGGTATTTATCGCTCAGCCTGCCGCAGCCAGCGGCCCACCGGGCTGATCAGCGCCGCCGTCCGCAGCTGATCCTGTGGGTGACAGAGATACAGTCACCCGGGTATCCCCGTCATCCTCTGGGTGACGGGGACACCCGCCAAACGGGCACTGCAACTGTGACAACTGTGCTACAGTGCTACAGCTATTGTTACCGTATTTAGGTATATCCACTCAAAGTCATGAGGCACGTCTAACAAAAGTTCATGTCAACATATCAACGCCAGGGCTGCGGAGTCGATGGATTTTCGGCGACTCCGACTCCGACTCCGGCTCGGGTTTCTAAAATCGACTCCGACTCCGACTCCGACTCCGGTCACAACTGTCGACTCCGACCGACTCCGACTCCGACTCCGACTCCGACTCCGCAGCCCTGATCAACGCATGATTGTCACGAACAATGTCTCTATATTTATGTTACCAATGTATGCAGCTGTAACTGCTGGCCGTCTGATCTGCCACCTGTGTTTGTGAGGGGCCGGGCTTTCCGTGTCCGCTGACGTCTGTTCGAGGCGGGGTCGGGGGCGCAGCTGCCGCCGGCCCGCAGCCGCCGGGGGGCCCCGAAGGGGGCGGCTCTCGGCTCTGTCCGGTGACGGCCCGAATGGAGCCGTGGCAGGCTCGGCGGGCCGCCAGCGGTGGCAGCAGCGAAGGTGGTCAGAAGGGGACGCGCCTCACCAACAGCGCAGCGCTGTTGTGGAGCATATCACCCAGTCCCGAGTGGAGCTCTTTTTGGCCTAGTAGTGGCCCTCAAGGCGCCGCTGTCGCCCGCTACCGTTTAGGGCTGACGTGATGAGCATGCGCTGATAAGCACCTCAGTGTTAGTGGCTCAGCGTGCGGCGAGCCCGTTCACTGGTGTGTCCGAACGCGGCTGGTGTGTGTGCTGTGGCCCCGCTGTACCTCGCTGTGTAGGTCTGTACTGCTCAGCTGCCGACTGATCCGGGCGGCGGCCACACGCGGCTCGCAGTGGCGCGGTAACCTTTAGCCGCTGTTTACCGTGCTGTTTGGCCGGCGCCGTATACACCGGCCGACATTTTGCCGGTGTGCAGTGTGACACTGAGCGGGTCACGGGCCGGCACACGGGGCGCCGGCCGGCCGCTCTCTCTCCGCGCCGCCGCCGGCCGGGGCGCCTCTCTCCGGACTGAGCGTGCGGACCGGACCGGCTGACCGTGACCGGGGCGGGCGGCCGGGGCGACACGGAGACGTCGCGGACTGACTGAGCGTCGCAGCCCGGCCGGGGACCGCCCGCAGCCGCCGGCCGCCGCCGGGGTGGCTGGGGCGGACGGGCGGGGAATCCACGGGGTAATGAAGCCCCTGCTCGGGTGGACAACGGGCGGGTCCTGCCTCGTCCTGTCGCCGCCTCTTCCAGCGATGGATGACGCCTTCAGTAGCGCCGGAGAGCTGAGGTCTGTCGGCCGGCCGGCCGGGCCGTAGTGAGCCGGTGCAGTTAGCAGTACCACTCAGAGCCGGGTGGCTGGCCTATCGATCCTGGCCGGGTGCTAGGCGCCGCCAACCGACCGACTGGCCAGCAGCGGAGCTCAGTTAAAACGCGCGCCACGCTGGCGACTTGATGACCGAGCTGCCGGGTCGGCGGGGGAGTTACGGGAAAGGTCCGGGAGTCGGGGGAGTCACGGACCAGAGGGACGGCTGGGGAGTCGGGGAGTCACGGATCAGGCAGGGTCGGCGCTGGCCGTGGGGCTGCCCCAGATGGCGGCGCGGCTGCCCCAGGTGGCGGCGCGCAGGGACCAGCAATATCATGACTCTTATCGTGACAGTTCTTTAGAGCTTCCGCTCTGGATTGCTAACTATCCATATTTGTTGGAATCTGGAACTTGCAGGAAGCTGGATTGGCCCTGCAACTCACAGTATTTTACGATCCTGCGGGCCTGACTCAACCTGGAAAGGGCGTTGGGGTTAACTGCCTCAATAACGTCCTGGCTGGCAAGCATGACTGAATGATAATGCGCTACGCGAAAGGGCATGACGCCGCACGGAGCGAGTAGCAGGCGGCTGCGTGAGGCGGTGACGGGCGCTCTCACACCCCTGCTTCCGGCTGCCGCTGCCGAGGTGCCGGCCGGCGGAGGAGCCGCTCGGGCTGTAGGTGCCGTGAATCATTGTCCGGCCTGCCGGCTATCCTGGCGCTCCCGGCGGCAAGGCCGGCCGGCCGGCCGGGCTGCACCGTTACCGGTCCCGGTCGGGGCGGCCGGAGACGGGCCGACACGGGTGGGTCGGACGGGCCGTACGGCCGGGTCTCCAGTCAGACACTGACGGCGTGGCGGGGCGGCTCGGTGGGAGGTGTGGCCTAATGGGAGCTCGGGAACCAGCCGGAAGGAATGACTTGTGCACTCGGCAAGACATCCTAGAATCCCGGAAATCAAATATATCCAACCTAATTACAGAGTGTTGGCATGGCTCCCATCATCATGTTCGGATCATTAGAGTTTCCACTCGCTGCATTAATGCCCTCTCAGCGTGCATCGGCAGGAAGCAACAGTCTCGATGGCGCCTCGGAATGCAAACTTCTGCTGCTCTGTGTGGTCGGCTCTGTCAGCCGCTCGGATGCAGGCCGGGGAGAGCGGCTGCTGGCGCTGGGTATCTCGACCATCTGTGAATTAATTAATTAGTTAATGACACGGGCGGCTGGCGCAGCGGGCCGGTGTATCACCGGGACAGCTCCGACCGCGGCGGCTCGGCCGGATCGATGGCCCCCGCAGTGGGTTTGTGCGACGTACGCACACGGCGGGAGACGCGGGACAGAGGTGCCTCGACGGTCTGCTCAGACGCCGTGGTGAGCGTGACAGCGACTAATGTAGTCGCTATATTGTACTTCTAGAGCACGGTCCGTTTTGGTCCGGGTAGAGCCGCAGCAAGTTCTGTGCCTGGTATGACACAACGGGCACCTATAAGTGGCCACGTCAGACCCGCGTCGCTGCGCGGTGGCGAGTTCGCTCCTCTCCAGCAGAGTCCAGCACACACCACTCCTGCACACGCTCGTCATTACCAAACCCAGAATGAAGACGGCTCCACTGAACTCGCACGACTGCAGCCTGATGGTCTAAATTCGAGCCCATCGCTATTCCCATGGGCTGAACTTGACGTCAGAGCTGGTGTTTTGACCTCTGCCGTGACCCTTGGTGCACCGTGTGCCCCGGCTTTCTGTGTGCTCCGGTGACCTTTTCGTGACCGAGCCGTCGTCCATCACTGCTGAGCGCCACTGCCGCCGCCTGCTGCTGGCGGCCCTGTCCTGTGGACCGCTGTGAATTCACGGGTACTGGTGTGTGGTGGTCGGGTGGGGACAGATGGCGACTGGTGTGGGGACCGGAGTTCGTCCCGCCGTGTGCTCTGACGTGTGTCCCGCCCGCCGTCTGACCGTTTCTCCCGGTCTCTGTCCGCAGGCCGTCTCCGTCCGGCTCCGCCGACCGGCCGGCAGCGCCCTCGGCCAAGTCGGCCGCCGCGCCGGCCGCCCCCGCCGCCCCCGCCGCCCCGGCCGCGCGCGTGGCCTCCAGCTGCTCGTCGAGCGAGTCCGGATCAGAGTCCGAGTCGGATGACTCTGCCGACGAGCTGCGCCCGGTGCCGGCGGCGGCCGAGCCGGCGCCCGGCTCGCCGGCCGAACAGAAGGTGAGCCGCCGACCGCGGGCGCCGCCGATCCGACAGAGCTAGTCGGGGGCGCCGGTCGGGCCTTCAGAGCCTGTGTCGCCGTCACCGTGACCAGGTTCTGCACATCCCCCCCCCCCCCCTACCGGCTCTTACTGTCGCCGTGCCGTCCCCTTATGTAGCAAATCGCTGCATCCTCCAGCGCGCTCCACTGTTTTGTTCCTCCATGCATCCCTATGTTGCCGGTACAGTGTCGTCATTTTCCTGACCCAGGGTTTCCCTTCCTTCCACCCTCCCACGTGTCTCCACCCTTCTCACCTTCTTCTGTGACTTGTCTCACCCTCTGTACCGCCTCACACCATAGGACCGGGGGATGCACCGCCCTCCGTGTCCACCCTGTGTCACAGTCCACCACAGCAGTCACCACCTCGTCGGACCGGGGGTCGACTGAGAGACGAGAGCTGTCCATTAGGGCCGCACCCGCCCGGCTGGTTCTGGCTGCCGGCCACACAGCGGGGCGGCTCTCCGGGCCGGGCTGGGTCTCTCTCTCTCTCTCTCTCTCTCTCTCTCTCTCTCTCTCTCTCTCTCTCTCTCTCTCTCTCTCTCTCTCTCTCTCTCTCTCTCTCTCTCTCTCTCTCTCTCTCTCTCTCTCTCTCTCTCTCTCTCTCTCTCTCTCTCTCTCTCTCTCTCTCTCTCGCTCTCGCTCTCGCTCTCGCTCTCGCTCTCGCTCTCGCTCTCGCTCTCGCTCTCGCTCTCGCTCTCGCTCTCGCTCTCGCTCTCGCTCTCGCTCTCGCTCTCGCTCTCGCTCTCGCTCTCGCTCTCGCTCTCGCTCTCGCTCTCGCTCTCGCTCTCGCTCTCGCTCTCGCTCTCGCTCTCGCTCTCGCTCTCGCTCTCGCTCTCGCTCTCGCTCTCGCTCTCGCTCTCGCTCTCGCTCTCGCTCTCGCTCTCGCTCTCGCTCTCGCTCTCGCTCTCGCTCTCGCTCTCGCTCTCGCTCTCGCTCTCGCTCTCGCTCTCGCTCTCTCTCTCTCTCTCTCTCTCTCTCTCTCTCTCTCTCTCTCTCTCTCTCTCTCTCTCTCTCTCTCTCTCTCTCAGCTAAAAAGGCTTAACTTTGGCCCACCTCGCTCAGTGGTCAACAGTTGGCGAGGAAACCTGTGCCGTTCTGTCCGATGACATGTGATGATGACGCTGGTCTGTCCGATGACGTCCGTGTCCGGTTGCAGGAGGGCGGCGACAGTCCCACCAAGCTGGGCGTCCAGTGGAGCCTCAGCTCCATCATGGGCAAGGACTCGGCCAGCACGCCCGTCTCGTCCATATTCGACGGCACGCCCGTCAGAAAGGTGCGCCGGCGCCGCCGCCGCCGCGCCGCCCTGGCGGCCGCAGCGCCAAACATACTCGGCCGCCGCGCCGCCCTGGCGACCGCCGCGCCAAGTGGCCTAATACATTCATCCAATTTTGAACCCGGCCTTCACTTGCATTAAATTTCCCTTTCACTTTTTCATACTAGTGCTGGAATAAGCTGCTCAGTCATACATGGGCTCTCTCCATCTGACCTGTACCAGTGTACGGCTCTCGCGAGATTAAGCGGTAGGTTTTGCACTTTTACATTTCCGGTTATATCTCAGAAACTAATCGATCTACGATGAAGCTATTTTACACGATCATGGCCGGTTTTGTTACCCAACAAGTCGATCGCATCTTCAACACTTAAAAGCTTGAGACTATGAAGATAAAGCCTGAAGTACACTAAATTTTCTAGGTGCAAAACCTACCGCTAAAACCCGCGAGACCTGTACCTTATATCCGATACAGTGTTCTGTTGACCAGCTGTGCCGGGGTGTGCGTTATGCAGTGTTTTGACCTCCGTACTCTTTGTCCGCTGGCAGCTGTCGCCGCCCGAGTTCCCCGGCAGCGTGGACCCCATGGGGCCGAGCAGCGCCGAGCCGCTGGACGCCGACGGTCAGGACGACGGCATCTCCATCGAGGACCTGGTCACCCAGGTACGTACCGCGTGCAACTGCACATCTGCCTCACAGAGGGTTCGGTCACCCAGGTACGTACCGCGTGCAACTGCACATCTCTACAGAGGGTCTGGTCACCAAGGTACGTACCGCGTGCAACTGCACATCTCTACAGAGAGCCTGGTCACCCAGGCTAGGGCTGCGATGGTTTACAGATCGGGCAGGCTGGTCGATTTCGGGTCCACCCTTCTCGTACGTGGTTTACGGCGGGCCAGCGACAGCTATTGACCGCCCCTTCTGTTGCCGTGACTGACCGCCGTGTGCCGCCCGCCCAGGTGAAGTCTGGCTCGCCGCTGCTGCTCTCGGACGGACCGGCGCCGATGGAGATGTCGGACGACTCGTCCGGCTCCGAGGACGAGCCGCGCCGGCCGGCCGAACAGCCGGCGACCGCTGCGGCCGGCAGCAGCGTGCGCTCCACCGGCGGCGGCAGCCGGCCGCGGCCGCGGCTCTCCGCCCTCAGTGAGAGCGATAGTGAAAAGGTGGAACGCTCGAAACGGCGCGCGCCGCCGGCCGAGGGCGCGCCGCGCCGGCCCGGCCGGCCACGGGTCAAGCAGAAGCCCTCACCGCGGCGGCCGCCCAGTGACAGTGACTCGGACTCTGACGCCGAGGCGCCGCCGCCGCCGCCGCCGCCCACCCGGCCGCCGCGGCCGCCCGGCCGGCCGCCCAACCCGCCGCCCAGCAAGGGCAGCCTGAAGGCGGCGGCACCGGTGGAGGCGGCGCGGCCTGGCCGGGGCCGCGGCCGGCCCAGCCCCAGCTACCCGTCGCGCGAGATGATCAGCACCACCGACTCGTCCGACTCCGAGTCGGTGCCGTCGGCGGGCCGCCGGGTGGCCGCCGCCAGCAGTGACGACGACCGGCCGGCGCCCAGGGCGGCCCCGGCCCCGGCCCCGGCGCCGGCGCCGGCGGCGGCCGCCGTGTCCGACTCGTCCGACTCGGACTCGCCGCCCAAGCTGGACGCCGGCGGCGTGAGCACCAGCGACGCTAACAAGAAGGCCACTGTCAACCGGCTCTTCTTGCACCGCGTCAAAAAGTCGACGCCGCGCGGCCGGCCGGCCAACTCGAGCGAGCGCAGTGAGGGGCACGCATCCCCGGCGGCGGCGCCGACGCCGCCTGCCGCGCCGCTGGCGCCGCCGCCGGCGCCGGCGCTGCTGGCCGCGCCGGCCGTGCCGCTGCCGCCGCTCAGCCGGCACAACGGCGTGCCGGTACTGCGCTGCCGGATAGAGAAGCGGCTGGTGCAGCGGACGGACGCGCGCGACGAGCCGCCGCCGCCTCAGACGGAGCTGCGCCGCGCGGACGTCAAGGCCGAGCCGCCGGCGGCGGCCAGCTCGGTCCGCTCGACGGCGTCGGCCGGCTCGCCGGCCACCTCCGGCCAGAAGCGGCGGCGCCACGACTCGGACCGGCGCGCCAAGAAGGAGCGACGCGACGAGGCCGCCTCCAAGTGAGTACCGCCGACCCGGCGCGCGGGGAGGTGTGCTGGCGGGCGCAGTGGGGTGCGCCGGGGGCTTGGTGGGGTGTGCCGGTGGGCGCAGTGGGGTGCGCCGGCGGGCTGGTGAGATGTGCCGGCGGGCTGGTGGGGTGCGCCGGGCGCGCGGTAGGGTGTGTCTGGGGCTGGTGGGGTGTGTCGGGGGCTGGAGGGGTGTGTCGGTGGGCGCATTGGGATGTGTCTGGACTGGTGGGCTGATGGTCTGTGCCGGCCGGCCAATTGCAACCGGTTTGTGCTGGCATGTCTCATGTTTCCAGCATGCTGGGAAGTGTCTGTGCGCTGGTCGCTGTGATTGTCGCAAGTCAGCTGCGTCCCCGTTCTCACCGGTTTTCGCTGAAAACTGGAAAAGTCATCACGTCTTTATATCGTGAGGTGTTCCCAACAGCCTTTCACAGCTATGCTCTCGGGACTTTCCTTGGCCAAACGTTAGAACAACGCATTATTCCACGCATGTACGCAGAAGCCATAGCAAGAAGCCATAACACTCAAATTGGAACTGATTATAGGTATCAGGCTGTGTGATGGAATCATTCTAGTTTGGCACTCAAGCAGTTACACCTTTTTTTACTTCGTTTAAATTGACGCAGACTCGTCTTTTTCGTTGAGGCTTCCGTCGGTACGGTTACTGACAGTTTTACTGGTCATATCCTGTATGTTTCACCTTGTTCGTTGCTGTAAAGCTCTATATGACTCCTCGTAAACGTCTTATATGCCATATGGCAGCATTGAGAACCACGTAGTAACATCAAGTTTCTATTCGCTACCCCATTTAGTATGGGTAACTTAGGCGATGGATCTGGGAATCTTTCCATGATGTCCATTCAGCTGTGCTGTGCTGTGCCGCTGATTGTGCTGAGTGGTGTGTGCTGTTTCGGTTGATGTGCTGTTTCGTCTCCCGATCAATGGCCGGCCTGTGTGGTCGTATTGTGTGCTGTGCCGGGTAGTGTCCTCCCCTGAACCCGCTGATGGCGCGGTGTTGCCGGCAGGCGGCGGCTCGGCCCCGTACCGTTCTGTGTTTTCATTATGTGTGCTGTGCTGGGTGTGCTGTGCCGGGTGATGTGCCCCTCCGCCGGGTGATGTGCCGTCCCTCCCGTCTCTGCCCGCTGACGGCTCGGTCTCTGCCGGCAGGCGTCTGCCCGGCTCCGTGCCGTGCTGTGCCAGTACCGTGTACTGTGCTGTCCAGTGTTGTGCTGTGTGCAGTGTCGGGTGATGTGCCGCTCCCTCCCGTCTGTGCCCGCTGACGGCCCGGTCTCTGCCCGCAGGCGGCGGCCTGGCTCCGTGCCGTGCTGTGCCAGTACCGTGTACTGTACTGTCCAGTGTTGTGCTGTGTGCCGTATCGGGCTCCCTCCCGTCTGTGCCCGCTGACGGCCCGGTCTCTGCCGGCAGGCGTCTGCCCGGCTCCGTGCCGTGCTGTGCCAGTACCGTGTACTGTGCTGTCCAGTGTTGTGCTGTGTGCCGTGTCGGACTCCCTCCCGTCTGTGCCCGCTGACGGCCCTGTGTCCGCAGGCGTCGGCCCGGATCGGTGCACTCGAACACGCCGTGTGGCGCCGGCCAGCCGGCCGACCAGCCACCCGCCGAGGAGGACGTGCCGCTGGGGAAGCGACGCGCCGCCGACGAGCCGCGCACGCACACACCGACCGGCGGCCCGGCCGGCCAGCACGAGCACAGGGTGAGGGGCGGTAATCGGGGTACCTACACACGGTGGTCCGGCGAGCACGAGCGCAGGGTGAGGGGTGGTAATCGGGTACCACACACGGCGGTCCGGCCGGCCACCACAGGGCGAGTCTGTAATCGGGTGCCTACACACGGCGGTCCGGCCGGCCAGCACGAGCACAGGGTGAGACCGGTAGTCGGGGTACTGACACACGGCGGTCCGGCCGGCCAGCACGAGCACAGGGTGAGGGGCGGTAATCGGGGTAACTACACACGGCGGTCCGGCCGGCCAGCATGAGCACAGGGTGAGGGCCCGAGGGGGTGGTACTCGGGGGCTTACAGTGAGAGGCGGCTGCAGCTCACGGCGGGACCGTGGGTGGACCGCCACTGTGAGACTCCAGGAGCACGGTGACGGAGCTGGAGCTTAGTGTGAGACATATGAGACGCAGTGGGTACATAGGTATCAGGGATGCCAGCCACCGGGGACGACACATGGCTGGGAGGTTAGTGAGACACAGAGAGGGCAGCTAGACACAGCGCTGGTGGCCGAGTCCAGGGGCTCCGTCTGAGCCTGTGTTTGTGCCGGCGGACTGAGTCGCCACCGGCCGGCGTCCGGGAGCTGGCTGCGCCACATTTGTCCGTCTGACTGACCGTGTGTATGTGTGTGTGTCGGCAGATTGAGTCGCCGCCTACCGGAGTCCGGGAGGCCGACAGCAGTACAAACCCCAGCGCCGAGCCCTACGACAGCAACGTACCGCAGGCGCTCTACACCAACCAGCCCTTCCCCATCCCGGCGTGAGTACGGGCTCCTCCCCATAGCGGCTGAGCTCCCCGCGTGCGTACCGGCTCCTACCCATAGCTGCTGAGCTCCCGGCGTGAGTACCGGCTCCTCCCCTACAGCGGCTGAGCTCCCACCCTTCCCCATCCCGGCGTAAGTACCGGCTCCTCCCCTACAGCGGCGTAAGTTACACCAACCAGTCCCTCCCCTACAGCGGCGTAAGTTGCACCAACCAGCCCCTGCCCATCCCGGCGCGAGTTGTACCCGCTGTTTTGATGTGTGTGGACCGTTGCCGATTTGCCTTTAGCGCTGCCTCCCAATGGGCTGTATGTAACTATACGGCTGTGCTATCGCCAATAACGTCCAGTGAATGCCGCCGGCCTGCAGCCCCGCTCATTTCGTCCCCAGCTGCCATGTTCATTGTCCATTATTGTCATGTTCATCTCATCATCGCATGGATCATTACATCATCACTATTCATGCACACAAAATCGTCTACCAAAAGGTTAATATCAAACAGTGAAATGAAGTAGGCGCTACCGTCCACTGCACGGTCGTTCTTTGCCAAGCTATCGTTAATCTTGATACTTGTTGGCCAACACACGAACCTTTCAGTGGCGTGCAAGCATTCCATTCTGATTATATAATTATGTAATGATCACCGCACTGCCAGCTTTTCATAATTTATGCATAGGAGCTTCCGACCTGATATATGTTAAAGTTTTACTCTTAAGTGTGGAGTTTTGTTGGCTGGAGTCATTGTTATTTTGAGCGTCATGCTTTCAACGTTTCAATTAGTGTTCATCAGACTTTGAAATATTTTTTTGCACATTTCTTACTATTTATAAAATTGCATTTTGCCATTTTGTATCAATTGTGATGTTTCGTGCTTCAAATGTTTAATTGTTATCAGTATCTTTCTTTAACTGTAACTGATGTATGCGTATTCATATTATGTGTTCTTCTTCTGCTATTCGATGCATTTATAAGACATGCTACGCTAGAATAGATATAGCCTAGCTGCTATGCCTCTGCTGGAGTCCTTCACGCTGCGCTGTCCTGCCTGAGGCCTATGAGTTTGCTCTGCACTGCCTGGTACCGCTATCGCTGGTCCGCGCGCCCACTCTGTCCTCGCTGACGGCGCCGCCGCCCCGCGGACACTCGGTCACCGTGTGGAAAACCGGGGAGCTTCTATCGCAGACTGTCGGCGGCTCCAGTTTCTGTAGCGCACTGCCAGGGCGCCTAACTATAGCGAATCACCAGCGGCTCCTTCTGTAGTGAATCGCCAGAGGCTCCTTCTGTAGCGAATCACCAGCGGCTCCTTCTGTAGTGAATCGCCAGAGGCTCCTAACTATAGTGAATCACCAGCGTCTCCTTCTGTAGTGAATCACCAACCAGCGGCTCCTTCTGTAGTGAATCGTCAGCGGCTCCTATAGTGGGCTGTTGGCGACTCCTTCAATACAGTAGAAGCCTACCAGTTGCTTTTATACCGGAACGTGTTAGCGGTTCCTTTGGCGAAGTGACGGCGCTTTCTGATATCTGATTATCAGCGGCTCCTTCTGTAGCTGACTGCTAGAGGCTCCTTACATATCTGACTGCCAGCGGCTCGTGGGGCCTTTTTGCCTCGCAGCTCTCCTCAGCTGCTTCTCTGCTTTTCGACGCTCGAATGCTTGATAGATCTGCAGTCGAGACTTGATTGCCTCTGTTTTAGGCATTGCTGTCGAGTGTCTGGATAGTGAGGCTTGGATAGATATAGCTGATTCTGGTTACTGATTGCCTCGGCAGTCGGCACTTTATCTCGCTTTTTGCTGATGGCTTTCGAGAGCGGGTTGACATTTTTGCTAGCCACAGCACCATACTTAAAGATATCTTACTTCTTCAATCAACAAATCTTAGTGTTGAACCACAGTGCTTCCATTTAGATCGGCTTGTCGCTTCTTCCTGGCTATCTGTCCGTTTCTCAGTATCGGTTCGGCTCGTCTATGAGCCGCCCTCCCTGTCTGTATTCGAGGCATGCATGTGGGCCGGGCCGCTGTGCCCCGGCCGGTCCGTGGGACGGCCGGCCCGCCGCCGCCGCGAGCGTGACCGTCTTCTGGGCTCTCTGGCAGGACGTCGTGGTTTGAGGCGCGCTCGCCGTGCGTAGACTCGTGTCTGGACGAGTACGTGGATAGGTGGGTTCCGCCGCGCCCGCGGTAGGTATATCGAGTCCGCCGGCCGCGCGCGACACGAGACTCAGGCCGCCGGGCCTCCCTGACAGACGTACCGCGCCGCTCCTGACTGCTGTCTGGCTGTCAGGGGCTCCCTGACAGACGTACCGCGCCGCTCCTGACTGCTGTCAGCCTGTCAGGGGCTCCCTGACAGACGTACCGCGCGGCTCCTGACTGCTGTCTGGCTGTCAGGGGCTCCCTGACAGACGTACCGCGCGGCTCCTGACTGCTGTCAGCCTGTCAGGGCTCCCTGTCATTCTGACCGGCCGGGTACTGGGCTACTCTGACTGACGGACGGGGCTCTGAGAGTTTATGACTGTTGGACCGGACCGGAAGGTTTGGTGGGTGGAGGGGGGGATGCTGCTGCTTATAGCACCCCATTCAGGAGTATCTGGCTAGTCGACAGTCTGACTGCCTGACCACCTGCGGCGGTTCTCTATAGGCTAGGCCATGCTGGGCCGGCTCGCTGTCCCAGTGACTACAGACTGATGTGGTCTGGGGTCCGGGACGCCTGGTCTGACTAACCGTCAGACTTGTAGACTGGTCTGGCTGGGAGACGCCTGGATTGACTGACAGACAGTCTGGATTGACTAATTGACTGACAGACAGACAGACAGACTGACAGACTGACTGGATCGGCTACCCCCAGACTGAGGTAGCGCCGCTCCCAGGCCCGCCCGCCGCTCAGGCTGCCCATGTAACCGCTGAGCGCTCCTCGTGTGTCCGTTTGCTGCTGCATGCCTGCCGATAACCGCTGCTGTGCCGTCGCGACTGAGCTATAGCCAAGCCCAACAGCAGTCCTCGTACGCTCAGTGTCTAGAATACATACGGGGGTGGTGACGATAGCTGAACGTCAGATGGTGCTTCCCCGCCTGTCATAACGGCATTGAACTAACGCGGTCAGAAGTCATGGTTAAAACTAGCAGTCAACGCGATTATCTATAAATCATGGCATTACTTTATTCATCTTTCACTCTCATTTAAGAATCATTTCATTCATTCATCATCATCTATCTCATCGTCACGATCGCCATTGTAGCCTGCTCGGTGTATCCTGCAGCCTGCGTCCCCCCCCCCTCGCCCTGTGTACATATCACCTCCGGTGGTGTTGGCCCGATACCGTGACTGTCCTGGAGGCATCTGCGCGGACCCTGCCCAGCCCCAGTCCCGGGGCCGGCCCGGGCCGGACCGCTGGGTGGTGGCCGTGACCGCGCACTGGGGATGGACCGGTCACCGGGGGTGTGACCCTCCTCTGACCGCCTGTGACCCGCCTCCCATACTCGCCCCTGACCGGCCCGTACCCCGCCGTTGACCCTCCTCTGACCCTCCTCTGACCCGCCCGTACCCCGCTTCTGACCCGCCTCTGATCCTCCTTTGACACTCCTCTGACCCGCCCGTACCCCGCTTCTGACCCGCCTCTAATCCTCCTTTGACACTCCTCTGACCGGCCCGCACCTCTCCGCTGACCCGCCCATACCCCGCCCCTGACCCTCCTCTGACCCGCCTCCTTTGCTCGCCTCTGACCCTCCTCTGACCGGCCTCTGACCCTACTCTGACCGCCTATTATACCCTATACCCACCACTGACCCGCCTCCTGTACCCGCCCCTGACCCGCCTCTGACCCGCCTCCTGTACCCGCCTCTGATCTTCCTTTGACCCTCCTCTGACCGGCCCGTACCCCTCCTCTGACCGCCTCTGACCCACCACTGACTCGCCCGTACCCCGCCGCTGACCCGCCCCTGACCGCCCCTGACCACCTCTGACCGCCTATTATACCCTATACCCTCCACTGACCAGCCCGTACCTCTCCCCTGACCGGCCGCTGACCGGCTCCTGACGGCGTCCACAGGGGCGACCAGAACCAGTACCTGAAGCAGGCCCGCTTGCTCAAACGTGCCGCCGACACCGAGCACGACCTCACCCTGCGGGTCATCAGGTGGGTCAGAGGCACCGGCGGCGGCCGCCCAGCCGGCAGATGACTCTCGGAATGACCCTGTTTTAGTGTTAAACACCAGTAAAACGCCTTTTGGGCGAAGAACGAGCGAGCGAGATAGTGAGCCCTGCACGTGCGGAAGGGCGAGAGGGTACTTCCAACGGGCTTGCGCAAAGCACCCTTCTAACCGGTCGCTAGCGGTGTACCAAATTTGAACGCAATCGGCCCAGCCGTTCCTGAGATCTGGAACAGGCATTCTGCACGTGCGCACGTGCAAACGGGGTCCAAACTGACTTTTGCACGGCACCCTACTAACTGGTCCCCAACCGTGTACCAAATTTGAGCGCAATCGGCCCAGCCGTTCTCGAGATCTGGAAGCGCCCCCTCCACGTGCGCACGTGCAGTAGCACTTTAACCGCAACACATGGGAATGCATTGCCTGGTGGGTGTCTACCTGTATGCCAAGTTTCAGCGAAATCGCCCCAGTAATTACCGAGTTATTAAAATGGGAACAAATTTGACACCTCTTATTGTTGTATTTTGCACGTGCACTGGGGGTGACCCACAGGGTTGGCATTTTTGCCGGCAAAAACTAGTTTATGCCATTTGCCGGTTTAAACCGGTTTTAACCGGCAAAAACTGGCAAAAACTGGCAAAAACTCAGAAATATCACAATGCTATGCCTAGACATGATTTTGAACAGGAAACATTTTAAGGAGAATTCGGTGAAAGCTTTATGCTTTCAAACAGAAGCGACATTGACCATTGAAATGTTTCATACCTAACTCAGAATCATTTTCATGGGCTATCCATAAGGAGCTAGTAAGATGCCTTTTGGGGGTGACAAATGAGCCAGTGCAAGGGTGACTGGGTGAGTCCTGCACAATCAGAAGTGCGAAGAGGTATCTGCCACTGATATGCGCACGGCACCGCATGGCACCCTACTTACCGTGGCCGCCTTGTCCCTGTCTCCCCTTACATGGAAAAACATTCCGTTGTGGATGTCTACCGACATGCATAGACATTTTAAGCAGGGATAAGTAATGAGGCAACTTCAGAATGTTTAGTGCATCTATGTATATAACTACTAGAAATGCATTTGTACATTTCAAATCCATTCCTAACTAGACAAGTTGAAGGTTTGGCCATCTGAGTTTTAGCCAGTTTTTGCCAGTTCTTGCCACCAGGGTTTCTGCCAGCCGGTTTAAACCGGTTAAAACCACTGGCAAAAACCAGTTTTTGCCACCCCCTGCCAACCCTGGTGACCCACATGCATCGAGAGTATCCTATTTTTGGTAGAAGGGATGCTGCTACCCTACAAAATTACCGCAAGACAATCGCCCAAGCGGCTGCTGAGATATGAGCCTCTCAAAATCACTACTTTTGCAAAACAGCTTGAACACCCTTGACTTTTCACGTGGCACGTGCCACGACGGTCACTGAGATGTATCAAAAGTAGTCAATTACGGGGTAGAAGGGATGGGGCTACCCAACAAAAAAGACCGCAGGCCAATCGGTCCAGCGGTTGCTGAGATATAAGCCTCTCAAAAGCGTTACAGGCCGGGCCGGGCCGGGCCGCTCATGCTGAGATTTTTCCGTTATATTGAAAAGACTCACTTCGCTCGCTGCGCTCGCTCGCTCGTAACAATTATAGAAGGGTGTGTAATACAACGGTCCCTATAGTCTGACCTCGTTTGACCTGACATAAAGCCATATGGTCATGTGCAATGTGCATTTTGCAGTTTGAAGTCAGAATTCATAACGAGTTGTTTTTTACTTGTGAGCCGTTGCCCGATCGTCGTCTCGCCCCGCCCACGCCATCCAGGCGGTACACGTACATACACATGTACATGCACTCGGGCGGTGCTGAACTGTACACCTGTCTGGCCGTGTGTCTGTTTGTCTAACCGTCCCGCCCCGCCTATAGGTACACCCAGGCTGTACATACTTACCCGCAGTCGCAGTACTACTGTACACCTGTCTGACCGTACCTGTCTGTCTGACCCCTCTCCCCGCTGACAGGTACACGCAGGCGGTGCTGTACTGTACACCTGTCCGACCGTGTGTCTGTCTGTCTGACCCCCCCCCCCCCCTCCCCGCCTACAGGTACACCCAGGCGGTGTTATACTTCCTGCTGACGGCCCTGTCGATGGAGAAAGACGCTGATGACGCCGAGAACATGCTGGTTATGCTCAACGACACGCTGAAGCTCATCAAGTGAGTGGGACGCGCCACCCTGTGGGCTGGTCGGTGGGCTGGTCGGTCGACACCCTGTGGGCTGGTCGGTCGCCACCCTGTGGGCTGGTCGGTGGGCTGGTCGGTCGCCACCCTGTGGGCTGGTCGGTCGCCACCCTGTGGGCTGGTCGGTGGGCTGGTCGGTCGCCACCCTGTGGGCTGGTCGGTCGACCGCGGAGCCCTGGGCTCAGCTGAGCGCTGCTCTGGGTTTGTGTAGCTGACATTAGTCCGCCCCGGGTGCGGCGGTCCAGTCTGTGCTCGGCGAGGAGCCCAGATCCCCCGTATCCTACATACGCACCGGTCTGTGACCCGGCCGTGCCGCTTGCGCTGTGGGACGCTGGGTATGACCCCTCCCTCGTCGGCCACATACCGTAAACTGGGCCGGCCGACCATTCCCTGTGAGTGTCCCAAAATTGTAATTTGGCTTGGGTGTTAGAGGGGAAATTCTTCTCGAAAAAAGAGGATACGAGTGGAAAATTGCCAGTGAGATAAGGCCCAAAGAGTGGAAAAAGGGATTGATGGCTTAATTTGTATACACGTAGTAAAATATAGGATGTTAAACTACCACCCATGCACATGTTTTTTTTTTCTATAAAATTGGAAGTGGCAAATTGCTCTTAGAAACAAGAGATGAGAGCACAAAATGATTTTCATTTGGATGTCGCTTCCCGCCCAAATAAACACATTTTGTGACACTGCGGCGGGCCCTGTCTGTGTCAGGGACATGCTGCGCCTCTCGTCGGCCACCTATCGGAAGCAGGGGAAGCGGCCGAGCCACATCGACCGGAAGCTGCAGACGCTGCTGCTCCGCTGTCAGGGCCTCATCTACCTGCGCATGTTCAAACTCAAGGAGCCCGAGCACAAGAAGGCGCAGCGACAGATCTCCGACTTCAAGAACCAGGTGCGCCGCCGCACGGCACTCGTGTGTGTATATGTAGGGGGATGTAGATATTAAAAATGAGTTGAATTGACACTGTTTGATGATGGTAACTGCACAGTTCACCGTTGACCTTTTCTAAGGACAGCTGTGCTGTGCTGTGCTGTGCTGTGCGCCCGCTGGTGTTCCCTGTGTCCCGGTGGTCGGTGTTGGGGTGGTTGTTGTTGTCTCCCCACGGCCCCCAGGCGTAGTCAGTGGTCGACGTGTATGCCGTCCGCCCCGGCCCTGTCGGCCTGTCTCCCGGTGGGCTGGACGTGCCGCCCCTCTGTCCGGTTAGATGTCTGACTCGCCGCCCCGTGTCGGTTAGATGTCTGTCCCGCCCGCGCGGCTGTGTCGGTTAGATGCTGTTCTGACCCGTCGCGCTGTGTCGGTTGGACTTTGTCTGACCTGCCACACTGTGGGTTAGATGTCTGACCCGCCGCGCTGTGTCGGCGAGATATCTGACCCGCCGCGCTGTGTCGGTTAGATGATGGACGAGTGTCTGACTGAAGACGGCCGGGCGTACCAAGTGCCGCGCGAGCTGCTCCTGCTCATGATCAAATGCAACGAGACGCAGGGCCACCTGCGGGACTGGCTCGACTACTGGGAGCAGGCCGACGAGCTGATGCAGCCCGCGCCCGACATAGGTGAGCTGGGGACGGCGGGGAGTGGGGAGAGGCCGGGGTCCATTGGTGGGGGGGGGGGGGTGCCGGGGCGCGGGACAGCGGGGAGTGGGGAGAGGCCGGGGTGGGGGTGCCGGGGCGCGGGACAGAGGGCATAGTGGATGACAGCGGGTGGAGGGAGGTATGTGTTTTAACACGCGCACTGCAGGGGGGATTGTTTTCAACCCCCCCCCCCCCTGTGGTTTTTCGCAAATCGCGAGAAAACGGCGGCGCGTAGCGCCGCCAAATTTTGCATACCTGTTCTCCCAACTTTTGCACACCTTGAGTAAAAATTTTGACCCCAGGTGACCTATGGTCAGGTCACCAGGTCAGGTCAAGTGACCCTACCTCGAAACGTAAATTTCGAAGTTTGCAATCCCACCAAGCCCACAGTTGTTGAGATATGATCTTGAAACTCACAGGAAATAGTAAAGTCATCACGAGCTACAACTTGTATATCTCGGAATTTTTATATCGATGACCTAAGGTCAGGTCATTTTTGCGACCGGCCCATTATAAGTCAATGGGAGAAATTTCAACTTACTCTGAATGCCATCCTATGACTTCAATACGCTCAGGATCATAGTATTACAGGTCCCTGTTGGTGATTTCATCGAAACATATCACTTATGACCTTTGGAAGGTGATCTCCAGGTCATCTTAGGTCACCTGAGGTCACCAGCGGTTTTTCTTCAATAACTTGAGATTGAATAGAGATAGAGACTCCGTTCGACGTTTATCGTGTTTTTCTCGTCAATGCGGATCGAATGATATGCAACATGACCTATTTCGGTCAGGTCATGACCTTGACCTGAGATCAAATTTTCAACTTGACCTTTCGGGGTCATATTATATATCATTCGATGCGCCTTGACGAGCTAAGAACGATGGCGTTCGAATCGATCCTCTGTCTTGTGTGCAAGACAAGCTATTCAAGAAAAACTACCGCGAAATTCCTGTTGTGAAAATCGTAACATTTTGTCTTCGGTGACCTCTGGTGACCTCGTTTTTGACCTGACCCAAAAATGATCTTAGTATTTCTTGTAGATCTCATCTCAACCTATCCAACGCCGTTTACCGCTTGTCGCTACGTTGCGCCGTTTTCGAGATCTCAGGGGGGGTTGTTTTCAACCCCCCCCCCCCCTGCAGTTCGTGTTCGGCTCAGACCCGCTGCAGTGCGCGTGTTAAAACTAGTCTCTTGGACACTAATGAACGTTGATCTCTGAGAGACGGAGTGTCGGCACGGCTACCAGGCCGGGATATTGACGAGGGCTCTGTGAGCCTCGGAGGGGATTGACTCGTTACTGCCTGGCCGGAGCAGGTAGGCTTGTGCTCGCAGCATGAAGGCTGTAGCCATGACGTGTTGTGGATATACATCTCCCCCGGGTGGTGTGATTGCTGACTGTGCGCGAACAGTACTGCTCTGATCGGTAGTTACCGCCTCGGCCCTGGCTGACGCGCCCGTTCCGTGTGCCCGCAGGGAAGTTTTTCGCCGAGATCGACCGCACGATGGGCGGCCTGCTCAACACGAGCACGCTGCTCCACCTGGTCTACTACATACGCGAGACGACGCGCCGGCTGCAGGCCATGCACACGGGCGCCGCAGTCTGAGCGCCGCCGACCGGCGCGCGCATCACAACCGTATCAGGGTACTCCGTGGCAATCCGAGCCGGGCAGCGGAGCCGCGGCGCCGGCCGAGCTTCCCTCCGAGGGCGGGCGCCGCGCCGGGCCCGGGCCGTTTTGTACCGGCGGCGCGGCCGGCGCCGCCCAGTGCAGGCCGGGTTTGTATTTTTGTACGGATCATCGCCATCGCCGGCCGGGCACGCAGACGCCGGCGGCAGTATCGCCGCGCGGCGGCCACCAGTCCAAACCATCGCCCATCGCTCTGTCTCTCTCAGTCCTCACACACCGGTTGGCGGCGGCGGCCTGCACCGGCCGGCCGCCGCCCCTCACACGATGCCTTGACAAGGCAGCCGTCCTGCCTCCCTGTCCCCGCCCTCCCATCCCCCCGGTCACGGTGCCTCTGGGGCAGTGCCCCGGCACACGCCGTCTCCCTCCTCTCGCTCTCCCCTGTCCCCCTCTCCCCGCCCCGGGTGCCGGGCCGCCGGTCTCAGCCGGCGCCCGCCCCGCTCCAAGTGCCAGCGTTACCGGATGCGTGCCTCCCCGTGTGCCCTGCCCCGGCCGAGTACCGGGGCTACCCCGCGCCGTCAGCCGGCCAGCCACACTGATGGAACGGTACTGACAATACACGTTCGTATATTGGGTATAAAACAGCGGCGTGGCCCGAGGCCGACCGTACACGTATTTATTTTGTTTGTTTAAGCTTCCAGGAGGCAGCATTGCGTCCAGCGAGGGTATTTTTGTAAAGACTGTTGTACATAGGTGCGGTGCAGAGTGTTGTGATGCAAGCTACAAATGAATGATGTGTTAGATCATTTTCATCCGCAGTCCGCACCCCAATAAACGTGTATGACGTGGCTGCGGCGTGTGTGCCGGGGTTGTGGTGGGCGGACCGCGCGCGCGCTGGGCTCAGGCGGCCTGCTGACAGGGCGGGCTACCAGGACAGTGACGAGCCGTGCTCATCATCATCACCAGCTATAACGCCAGCCGGCGTGAGGAGCACGGCGGATGGCACAACAGGTGGAGCGTGGGAGTCGGGTCAGAAGTGAGCTGGTGGCTGAAGCAGCTGCGTGACCCCGAGTGGGCCCCTCGTGGACTCGAGCGGAGGATGGCGGACTGCAGAGGGTCCGGACACACGGTCGGCGGGGCGCCTGAGGCGGCGCGGCTGTCTGCACTCCAGCCGGGGAGGACCGGTCGCTGTGCCCGCTGAACCTGGCTGCACATACCGACTGTTGTGGGCGTCGCCGGCCGTTTTTTACTGCGTGTCAGACGTATGTGGCGCCGGACGCGACTGTCTGTACATGCTACAGACTCACAGTGACCGACAGGTCAGCCTCGGCGGTTACGGAAGGACAGGACACCCGCCAGAAAGGTTGCGGCTGGATCCTGAAAGTGGGACCAGCCGAGAATACTTTACTAACAGGACCAGCTGCGCTATGAACTGTGCGGTCGGGTGGCGGCCCGGCGGCGCGGCTGTCCGCGACCAGAGCAGCTCCGAGACCGGCCACCTGGCGGGGACACTGCTCAGGGGTTGGCGGGCACTGGCGCTTGGCGGGGACACTGCTCAGGAGTCGGCGGGCGGAGGTGGCGGAGACCGCGCTCGGGGACGGTGGACGGAGGTGGCGGAGACACTGCTCAGGGGTCGGCGGCCACCTGGCGGGGACAGCGCTCGGGGGTCGGTGGACACCTGGCGGGGCCACTGCTCAGGGGTCGGCGGACACTGGCGGACACACTGGGGTCGGAGGTCACCTGGCGGAGACACTGCTGAGGGGTCGGTAGACCAGTGGCGTATCCAAGGGGGGACCCTGGGGGTCCTAGGATCCCCCCTGGAGCCTAGACAAAACGTTTTTTTATAACACGAAAAAATTGAAATGACTTCAAGGGCCCTTTTGACCACTTCCCATTTTATTCGCAAAAAGAAAAAGTATTGTAGAACTCTTTTAGGGACCCCCTGAGGACTATAAGAGGACACCTTTAGGCCAATGAGGGGCCTTGTGAAGTAAACAGAGGGCCCTCTCAGGTACACAGAGGGCCCTTTCAGGCACACAGAGGGCCGTCTCAGGCACACAGGGGGCCCTCTCAGGCACACAAAGGCCCTCTGAGACACACAAAGGGCCCTCTCAGGCACACATAGGGCCCTCTCAGGCACACATAGGGCCCTCTCAGGCACACAGAGGGCCCTCTCAGGCAAACAGAGGGCCCTCTCAGGTACAGAGAGGACCCTTTCAGGCACACAGAGGGCCCTCTCAAACACACAGGGCCCTCTCAGGTACACAGAGGGCCCTCTGAGACACACAGAGTGCCCTTTCAGGCACATAGAGGGCCCTCTCAGGCACACAGAGGGCCCTCTCAGGTACACAGAGGGCCCTCTCAGGCACACAGAGGGCCTTCTCAGGCTCACAGAGGGTCCTCTGAGACACACAGAGGCCCTTTCAGGCACACAGAGGGCCCTTTCAGGCACACAGAGGGACCTCTCAGGCAAACAGAGGGCCCTCTCAGGTACACATAGGGCCCTCTCAGGCACACAGAGGGCCCTCTCAGACAAACAGAGGGCCCTCTCAGGTACAGAGAGGGCCCTTTCAGGCACACAGAGGGCCCTCTCAAACACACAGGGCCCTCTCAGAGGTACACAGAGGGCCCTCTGAGACACACAGAGTGCCCTTTCAGGCACACAGAGGGCCCTCTCAGGTACACAGAGCGCCCTCTCAGGCACACAGAGGGCCCTCTCAGGTACACAGAGGGCCCTCTCAGGCTCACAGAGGGTCCTCTGAGACACACAGAGGCCCTTTCAGGCACACAGAGGGCCCTCTCAGGCACACATAGGGCCCTCTCAGGCACACAGAGGGCCCTCTCAGCACATTGCCCCAACAGACGGTAAATAACTTTTGAAAATACCAATTTCCAATTTTAGTGTTTTCTGGACCATAATTTTGCGAGGAATCCGATGGTGTGGTCCCCGAAATCTGAAAAATTTCCATTTTGTAGATAGCACCTATTTTTTTGAAAAATAAATATTCGTCAGGCTTAATAGTCAAATAAATTGGAAATATAATGAGTTAATTTTTGTAACAACACTAGAATGTGTCGAACATGAATTAGAGATATATTTTAGCTGAGATGATACTATATCTGCGCATACATGTACATGAACTAGTACATTAACCCTCGTCGGCCGAGAAGGGGTGGGGCGGGTGCCGCCTAATAGGGCTTTTCGCGATAGCTTAAAATTCGCTTAGGGTAGACAGCTGAAACTTGGCATACCTAATCTTTTATTCAAGCTGGATCTTTTGATCTCAACTGTGTTTTCAGGTCAGGTCAGGTCACTGACCTATGACGTCATAAATGAGCCTCTGCGAGGTCCTCAGATGTTGCAACTTTGCAACGCCCTCAGTGCCAGAGGAACTTTCACAGGAAGATGAAACTTACAGGACGTAGTATCCTTCAGAGGTCTCACAACTTGTATATCTCGGATTTAACCTAAATGTCACATGAGGTCAGGTCGGTCACGTGACCTCACCATTATAAGTCAATGGGGGAAATACGAAAACTGTTATTTTGGCGCCGGTAAAGATCTAAAACTATCCCAAGCACATGAAATCGTGGTTTCATGATCGGACCTTACAAAGAGTACATGAAACCACGATTTCATGTGCTTGGGACAGTTTTAGATCATTTCCGGCGCCAAAATAACAGTTTTCATATTTCCCCCATTGACTTATTAGGGTGAGGTCACGTGACCGAACTGACCTCATGTGACATTTGGGAAAAATCTAAGATATACAAGTTGTGAGACCTCTAAAGGATACTAGGTCCTGCAAGTTTCATCTTCCTGTGAAAGTTCCTCTGGCACTGAGGGCGTTGCAAAGTTGCAACTTCTGAGGACCGTGCAGAGGCTCATTTATGACGTCATAGGTCAGTGACCTGACCTAACCTGAAAACGCAGTTGAGGTCAAAAGATCCAGCTTGAATAAAAGATTAGGTATGCCAAGTTTCAGCTGTCTACCCTAAGCGAGTTTTAAGCTATCGCGAAAAGCCCTATTAGGCGGCACCCGCCCCACCCCTTCTCGGCCGACGAGGGTTAATGTACTAGTTCATGTACATGTATGCGCAGATATAGTATCATCTCAGCTAAAATATATCTCTAATTCATGTTCGACACATTCTAGTGTTGTTACAAAAATTAACTCATTATATTTCCAATTTATTTGACTATTAAGCCTGACGAATATTTATTTTTCAAAAAATAGGTGCTATCTCCAAAATGGAAATTTTTCAGATTTCGGGGACCACACCATCGGATTCCTCGCAAAATTTTGGTCCAGAAAACACTAAAATTGGAAATTGGTATTTTCAAAAGTTATTTACCGTCTGTTGGGGCAATGTGTCAGGCAAACAGAGGGCCCTCTCAGGCAAACAGAGGGCCCTCTCAGGTACACAGAGGGCCTTTTCAGGCACACAGAGGGCCCTCTCAAACACAGAGGGCCCTCTCAGGCACTCAGGGGGGCCTCCCAGACACACAAAGGGCCCGCTAAGACCAGCAGAGGGCCCCTTAAGACTAACAGAAGGCCCTCTGAGGTACCAAGGTCAATTTCAGGCCAAAAGGTGTCCTATGAGGCCACCAGACGGCCCTCTTATATCAAAGATAGTCCCTGGAGGTCACCGGAGGGCCCTCTGAGGTGAACAAAGGGCCCTCTCAGCCGCCTCAAAGAGGGCCCTCTGATGTCGAAGAGATCAAAGAGATCAAAGAGGGTCCTCACTCCTCTAAGGCGAATGAAGGGCCTTCAAATGCCACAAAGTGCCCTCTGAGGCCACTGGAGGGCTTTCTGAGGTGCTATGAGGCTATGTCAGACCATCATGAGCCCTATGAGGTCATCAGGCCCTCTGAGATCAAAGAGCGTCCTTGGAAGTCATCGGAGGACCCCTTGAGGCCCCTTGAGGCAAACAAAGGCCAGAGGGGCCCCTTAGACACCATAAAGAAGTAAAAAAGATCCCTCTGAGGTCAAAGACAGCTCTCTGAGATGTAATAGGGCCATGTGAGGCATCCGAGGGCCCTCTGATGCCACAGAGAGGCACCCTCTGATGCCAAAATAGGGTCCTCTGAAGTCTAAATCCACCAGAGGGCCCTCTGAGGCGAACAGAGGGCCCTAACATCCACCTCAAAGAGGGCCCTCTGAAAATCAACTGGCCCTCGGAGTCAGTGTCCCAAAATTGTATTTTGGCTTGGGTGTCAGAGGGGGAAATAGGTCACCCAAAAGGGGGATAAGAGTGAACAATTGTCAGTCACAGCGCAGTCGGAGCCCTCTGAGAAGGCCACTCGAGCCTTACAACAGAGGGCCCTCTGAGGTGATATGAAGGCTATGTCAGGCCACTATGGGCTCTATGAGGTCATCAGGCACTCTGAGGAAAAAGCTGGCCCTATGAGGCGAACAGAGGGCCCTTTAGGACAATCAGAGGACTTTTTAGGCCAACTAGGGACATTATGAGGCCTGAACAATGGGCCCTTTGGGACACAAACGGCCTCTCAGGCACCCGGAGGGACCTCTTTTCTAAGGCAAACACGGGGTCCCCTTAGATGATATGAGGGCTTTTTAGGCCACCAGGGGTCTCATATATTAGACCAACATACGGCCATCTGAAGTAAAAGAGGACCTTTTGAGGTAAAAAGGGTCCCTGGAGAGAAAACAGAGGGCCCTTTTGGGTACTCAGAAGGACCATGGGGGCCACTAGAGGGCCCTTTGAGGCCAGAAATGGACTCGTCAGACCGAAAGGGCCTGGGCCCAACCCAACAAAACAATCAAAGCTCTTTTAATGCTCTTTCTGTAAACTGTGCTCAGATTTGACCTAGGCCTGTCAATTC